CAGATGGGACAAATGATAAACACTGAGCGACAGGGGGCGTTCGTGGTGAGCGAGAATGAAGGTATTCTGGGCTCTGAGAGCAGCAGGGCTTGGGTACTGTGGCTCGGTGAGTTTAAGGGGCAGCAACAATATTATTTAGGCTGGATTGTAATTTTGATATAGAAAAGTAGTGACAAATGAATGGTAGAATTGGGGTGTGGAAGGCAGGAAACTGCCAACAAAGAACAACTAGCAGCATTTTACTCATCCCCTCATGAGCTAAGTCTGGGACTCTGCAAATTCTACATCTAATCTTTTCAACTGACCTCACAGGCCAAAGCCAGGCAGGTCGTCTGCGTCTAGTGGTGCAGACCACAAAGAGGAATGAAGGCATCTGCCTACACGGCGGGCAGGTAGGAAGAGGCCCCAAGACTGCCTCTGATTATCTAGCGGGCAGGGCCATGGAGGCCCAGGTCCTGCCAGGAGACACCAAAAGCAGCCTGAGGCAGTGGCAAGAATACTGGAGAGTCAGGGAGCTGGGTCCCACACCTAGCACTGTGAGACCTTCCATGGGTCACAGTCAATCCTTCCAGAAGTCTGTCTCCTCCTCTGTGGGAACCTTGAGTTTCCCTCACCGGCTGGGTCATTTCAGGTGGGGTATTTCCCATACCATAAACTGAATATCCTGGCTTTCCCCCAGCCCCAGCTCACCAGGACTTCTGCCTCTCTGCTGTCTCTCCAGCTATTTCTGGAAGGTCATGGATGACATCTGAGTGTTCATGATCACCCAGCTAGCTATCTGGCCCATTTCCTCTTGATTCCATGGTCCCCTCTCCCCACCATACCTGCCCACCATGACAGACAGAGCTCCAGGGCACCAAAGCTGCCACAGGTTCTGTTGCACAGCAGGGAGAAGTCCCCTCTCCCTTTATGTTACCCTCTGTCTTAGAAAGCTTTTGGTAAATCTTTCTGACTTGACTCACAACCCACGAGTTCAGACTCACATGAGTCTATAGAATGATGGTAGGAGAGGGTTTGGGCTGAGGAATAAAAGAATCCACAGTGGGTTCCCCTTCTCCTCTGACAGTTGAGGTCATTATTCATGCCTAGCTTCTTCTTGAAGAATTATAATTAATAATAATGATAATAAACAGTCAACACTGATACAGTACTTATCACGTCCCAGGCACTTAACATACAATGTCTTTTTAAATCTTCACAATAGCCCTGCAAGGTAGTTACTGTTATTACTATATATTTTTTTCTAAATAGGAGAGAAATAAAAGCACAGAGTGATTAAGAAACATGTCCAAGGTCACACAGCTAATAAGCGCAGAGACAGGATTCAAACCTGGGCAGTCTGGCTGTAGAGTCTGTGCTTTGACTCTCCTCCTGGGAGATTTTTGCACACTCTGCCTGTAGATTTCTGGCTGGCCTACCCCACTCCACAAAAGTGCAGCAGAAATGCCGGGAAATGCTTGACCCCCAGTTTAGGCTGCTGCGAGTGCCTCTGCTCTTTAACAATGAATACCTAGATTAATTAGCTCAGTGGTTCTCAGCCCTGCCCACAACAGGGAGCTTATTTGAAAAGGCCCATATCGGGATGGACTCCAGACCACTTAAATCAGATTCTCTACTTTTATGTTTTGAAAGATGATTCTTATGAGCAGCCAGGGTTGAGAACACTTGGATGAGATGGATTGTAAGGCCCTAGCACCTCCAGTGTTCTGTGGTGGTGAATCACCCAACGCTAATGTCTGCATGTGGATTGGACCAGCAACCTGGAAAAGCTCTCTGAAGTCCCTACCTGGAACCCAGGCAGCTCCAATTCTCTACCCAGTGGGACAGGGCCCCTCAGGAGCAGGCCACTCAGGTCGGGGGTTAGAGGGCTGCCTGGGAGATGCTTTCCTTTGGCTCTGGGTACTTTCTAGAGAAGCCACACAGGGTCTTGGGGTGTAGAAGGCTGGAACACCTTGCTTCAGGTTCCCTGTGCAGAGGATGGACTACCTCCACCTATATCTGGCCCCCAGAAAATTCCATGGTACAAACTGATAAGACCTGATAATGAGTAATACGTGTAGGTGGCTGCTTTCTAGACCCTGATTCTGACACATATAAGTAATTTTGTATGTAACCCAACACAGGACTGAGGTCAAGACTTATAAAATTCCACCCATGATATACCTAGCATATAGGAGGTGCTCAGGTAACTTGATAACCTGGCAAGCACTAGCCACAAGCTGTGTTCAAAATTAAGGACAACAGATTGGGGAAAGAGCCGCAGAAACAATGAGACCCAGGGCCAGAGCAGCCTAGAGGCAGTTTCTGCAGGATTGTCACTGCTCCAAGTCCTTTGCAGGAAGACAGCCAGGGACCCCATGTGCTGGACTGAAGAAACACACCACAGACTAGGATGGAAGAAACTGGCAGGACCATCTGTCACAAAGGTGACACGTGAGCTATCTCTTTGTTGCAGATGGTGACAAACACCTTCCAGACGGCCCACATCCAGGTCCAGAGCCAGGAGCAGAGGCTACTGACACTATTGCTGGACAAGGACCATCGGCGAACTTTCAGGGATGTGGTCAGGTGAGGCTGGGCCTGTCATCCCTAGGACTCCATGCCTTATGGGGCAAACCTAAGCAGCAGCCAGCCTCATCATCTCCTGACTCTAGCCCAGGACGTCTGGCCAGAGGCAGATCCTGTGGCCAGGCAGTGTCCCTAGTGGGCACAGACTTAGGCCATTGCCCTGTGACTTGAACACAGGAAGAAGGACAAATGAACGGCTGACCCTGGACAGCTGCTGATATTTTAAAGTTTCCTGAGATGCCTCTATGAACAATAAGTCTGCAGCCCTCCTGATCCAACCCCCGGTGCAGGCACTGGCCCCTCCAACACAGGCTGACCTACTGTGGCAGCTGTGCCCCAGTTAACATGACCCTTACGGGTCTCCCCTGGGGAGGTATATTGGGGTAAGGAAGGTAGACGCAGTGACCCAACCAGGCATGTCCTCCTCTCCCAGTGTTGGCTCTAGGTCCAGGGTGATCTTTCTTGTCCTGACCCTTCCTCTTCCCTCTGTTGGGCCCCCTCTTCTATACTCTACAATACAGGGGCTACCTTTAAAATACCTGGGAAGATTTGACCTCTGAGATTGGTCTCCTGAGCTGGCCTTTATCTATCCACAGATTCGAGGTTGCTTCCTGCCCAGAACCATGTTCCGGGGCCCAGAAGTCCAAGGCGCTATGGCTCAGTTCACAGCAGCAGGAGCTGGAAAGGACTAAAGCCAAGCCCAAACCTCTTCTAATGCCCATCAACACGTTCTCCGGCATCGTCCAGTGAGCCTGAAGGAGCAGTGGAAGTGCTGACTCTGAGAGCCACCGGCCCCAGAGGAAGGATACACTAAGAACCAGCGAGTGCCCAGAGTACAGGAGACTGGCTGTGGGGGGTGCTGGAGCAGGGCCCACACGACGGCCCAAGGAGGGCCCAGGCAAAGCTGTGCACACACAAAGCCCAGTTCCTTGCACCAATGTCCACTCCTGCGTTGATTTTCAGTTCCCACCTCTCCCACTCAAGCTCCCCACCCAATCCTTAAAGCCAAAGTGAGAGCTGCTGTTCTGTCCAGGGCCCTGTGGCCTGGGGCACTATGGGAAGTAGGCAGATGCAACTACATCACCTCCTCCTGAGCCTGCTCCCTTCCCTCACTTAGGCCTCTGCCCACCTCACCCACTCCCAGGCAGGCCTTCTCTCCTGGTTGAGAGGAAAGTGTCAGATTCAATAAATGCACACTAAATTGTTCCTGCTTTTATCTAATACCCAGCAATATCTGTATTTTAATAGAGATTGGGGCGGTACTTAATCTAACCTAATGAATTTGCTTAGGCCACGTAAGAGTTTTGTGACGTATTTACTGGTGTGTTCTGTCTACCTGCCCACTCCTCTCCTCGTTCACATTGACTCAGGGATTCCTGAGCAGCAGTGTCCCAAAACAGAGGTGGAAATGCAAGCTAGTTTCAGAGAAACCAGAGATTAAAGACATCAAAATTCTTGGCTTTTGAGTTCAAAAACTTACACCCACATGTAAAACAGGGAAGATCAGTGACACAGAACCAGTTCCTGGACCCCAGGACTAGGGGTGGGGTGGAGGAGAAAGTAACAGAGAGAACATAAAGGCTTGACATGAGTCCATCTCTATCGCCTATTGGAGTCCCCAGCTATTTCATGGGGTCGAGGTAGGGGTGGAAGAAACCTTTTTGCATTCGGGGGTCCAAGAGTAAAGAAGTAAGCACTTCACCTTTGGCCTCATTGGCCTGGGAATGGGGGCAAGTCCCAGAGCACATTCTCAATGCCTAGGGCAATAGTGTAAGAGGGGCTGCTTGGGGTGTCTAGGTAGATGGGCCCAAGGGCAGCCTTAGAGCGAGTCCCTGTGCCCCCATAGGGCATGAGGAGTAGGTGAGGTTTTCTCAAGTAATTGAATGCAAACAATCCCTAAGGGTCTGACAGTAAAAGGGAAGAGGTGCAGCTGTGAGTGGCAATAGGGACCGCAGACCAGAACCCCAGATGATGGACACCAGCATGGCGGAGTGCCTGCCCCTCAGTAGAGATCAGCCCTGGACAGGTGAAGACAGAGGAGTAGATGGATGTGAGGTCCTCCACTGACGTTGCAAAACCCAGGGAGGAGAGAGACTAGAGACAGCCCTCAATGTACGTGAGGTGGTTTTAAACCAGAGTGACTGATATCACTGAATGTACTAAGTGAGTTTATCTGGAAGTGGCTAGATTATTTTTCTGCCACTGCAGTAATATGAACTGATTCGTATCAATTTGGGCATTCATAGTTTCAAGTTTCTTTAAGTAAACATTCACAGAGTTTACTGGTTGTTAGAGTTAGGTTAGGGCTCTGGGCCTCCTCCCCCAATGATCTCTCCACCAGCTTGCAATGAAAGCAAGTCCTAGACCAAACTCTGTTGCACATACACCCCCCAACTCCCCACCCCCAGCCAAATTAGGTGCTCTGAACAAACCTGGCATGGAAAGTTCTCTGAATCAGTGGCTGGACACTGGAGCATCTTGGAGTAAAGCCTATGGCACCATTCTGAAGGCTTTAGACTCCGTTCGCCTAGGGAAGAAATGCGCCAAAAAATTATAACCAACCCATGTGACTTGGACACCATACATTTTGCCAGTGAAATTTTGCTAATATCTATCATACTAATGAATGAAGTCACTTTTGCTCTAAGATTGTTGAAGTGCTAGTATTTGCTGCCTCTGTGGTGTGGCTTTTTCATTAAATGTTAGCTAACCACCCCTGGAGTGTGTACTCCCAAATTGGATGATTTAGGTGTAGATTAAAACTACCCGTTGCTTCCTGCCCAGCATACTGTTTCGGGGTCTGGAATGGCGACCTGGATAGGGTGCTGGAGTGACACTCCAAGACAGCCCTCAGCTGTCAGCCCTCTCTGGGGATTGTCCCAGCTGAAGAAAATTGTGTCACCCAAAGTCATGCCCCTTCTAGGGGGAGCTCACAATAAAACAGCTCTAGGCCCTGAGGACAAAAATAGCTGCCTTGCTGGAGCTTTGATTCTGATGGAAGCAGACAATAAATAAGATAAACACGTGAAATAGAAGCGGGTGGTGTGTTGGATAGTGAATAATATGTACTATGGAGAAAAATAAAGTAGGGAAGAAGAGTGTGCGAGTCTGGGGAGGAGCTGGGATTTGGTATTTCAATGAGGGTGTACTGGGACGGTCCCTGA